TTAGTATCTACTACTTCATTAAAATCACCTATTAAGCATATATTTTCATATGCTCTCTCTGTTATTTTTTTGTGTATTTGTCTATAAAATTATTTCAGATTGTTGTTTGGTGAATATATTGTAATAAGCAGTATTTGTTTCTGATCCATTGTTATCTCCATCATTAAAACTCTTCCCTCCTCATCTGCGTATATTTGTTTAGGTTTTAGCCATTCTTTGATATATATCGCTATTCCTCTCTTTTTTTGCTGTGCTACATAGAGTTTTCCTATTTTTGGGTGTTCTAGTAGGTCTTTATATTGTTTCTTAATATGTACCTCTTGGAGGCAAACTATGTGAGGGATCTCACGAAAAACAATGAGGGCGCTGAGGGCGCTTCCAAGAAAAGGTCAGCACGCAAGGATGCAATCAAATTAAGTCTTTATTTAGATGTAAAAGTGGAGTAAAATAAATTCCCAGGCATGGAGGCATCCATGCCTGGATTGAGCCCATGGGTCAGTCCCATAGGAGACTAGAACAAGAGCAGGGAAAAAGGGAAAAGCAAAAAGGGGTAAAAGCAAAAAGGGGGGAGCAGCCCCTGTGCAGGGGCTCTTATAGGGGCCCCTGGCCCCTCCCTTACAAGGTGTGTGAGGGGGCCGGAGGGCCATTAACTCTCCCCAATGGGGCTGCAGGGGCTGGAGCCCCTTGACCCACCAGTGGGATCAAAGGTGCCTCTTTGCCCCCATCTGGTGGCCTTTGAAGAGACTGCCATGGCTGGCACAAAACATCTAACAAACTATATCCGTGTCCAATCTTTGTAATTTTGTCAAGGTCTCTTTTCTTTTCATGGGTGAGTTCAGTCCATGTATATTGATTGAAAGCACCTCCTCCATTTTGTTATTTGTATACATTTCTCAGTTTTCTAGTTGTCCTTGTCTCTCTATATATTTTTGCTCTTGTGCCCTCACGTTCCGCTCATTCCTTTTCCTGCTTCATTCTTTCCGCTCATTCCGTCTCATTGTCTTCTAGTTGTTGTTCCTCTTGACTCTTACTTTCTATTTTTTCCCTGCTCTCTTGATCTTCCTCAGCCATAAAGTGATGCTCAAAAAGCTCATGTGCTTTGTCAAGTGTATCAATTTTAAATTTCTTCTCCTGCCAAGTAATCATGATTCCTTCCAGGATTAGCCATCTAAACATCACATTGTATTTGACTAGTTGTGTAGTGAGAAATTGGTATTGTCTTCCCTGGTCCCTAACTCTCCTAGGTATCTGTTTGAAGGTTTGAATTTCTCTTCCTTTATACATCATGGGTTTCTCCCTTGTTTTTTTGTATATTTTGTCTCTTATTGCCTTTTTGGTGAACCTCATGTGTACCTCTCTTGGGAGTCTGTGTCTTCTCACATAATTTGTGTGTATCCTGTATACCTCATCTATACACTCTGTATGTTGTGTTTGCTTTTCTGTAGTGTGTCTGCTAATAGTTCTGCCATGATCATGCCTAGATCTTCCTCTTTGTCTTCCACTATGTTCTGGAACCTTAGGAAGCAAGCTGCTTTTTCCATTTCTAAAAACACAATAGTCTCCTGCAGATCCCTGTTATCCTGAATGAGTTTTTGTTCCATTGCTTCCATTTTCTTTTCTGTTTGTTCCATTTTTGTCTCCACGGTTTGTATTCTCTGTTCGTTTTTAGTTAATGCTTGCTGGATATTTCCTATTTTATCGTCCATTTTTCTAATATCTCCTTTCATTTCTCCCATCTCATTTTTCATCTCTTCATGGTTTCTTTTTTGTCTCCTGATGATTCCTTGCTATTGACTCCTCAGTCTTTGTCATTGTTTCCTGTTTCATGAGGAGTGTTGACTGCATGGTTTGCAAATTCAGTTTTGAACTTGATTTCTCTGTACCAAACATGCTCTCTATTGAGCGTTGATTTGAAGGGAATGATGTTGCAGATACTGGATTTGATGAGGCTTTCTTACTTATTTTAGTAAACAACAATAAGTCACACTACAGGAAGAACTTTAAAAAGTGGAATTAAATTTGCAGACAGAACCACAAAAACACAAAAGAAAAGAAAAAAGAAACTTAATAAAACATAGATTAAATTTGATGACACAGGAAGAAATGGCACAAAAAGTTAAAATGGCAAAACAATTTTTTTTGAACATGAAAACAAGCCAGGGAGATGGCTAGCATATAAATTAAAAAAAGAAAAAGAGAAGAAAAGAATACATCAACTGCAAGACGAAAATGGAACTCTACATCACCAGAGCGAAGAGAAAAAAATATAATACAAGAATTCTTTACTAGTCAAGAAAACATACCAGAAGACAATATCAAACAGTACTTAGATAAGATGAGCTTAACTAAAATTGAAGAGACAAAAAGAATGATGCTAGATGAAAAAATAACCATGATGGAATTATTCGAAGCAGTTAAGAAACAAAAAAAACAACAAAACACCTGGCTCAGATGGACCTCCTGCAGAACTATACAAAACCATACAAGGAACTTTACAGGCTACAATGCTGGAATTGTATAACGAGGCCCTTGCAGAGGCCAAACTACCCGAATCATGGGCAGAAGCATACATTACACTTATATCAAAGGAAGATACAGACCACAAACAGATAAAAAATTATAGACCCATTTCATTACTAAACATCAACTACAAAATATCTATAATTTCAGAAAGATTAAAATGATTATTAAATGAATTCATTCACCCAGACCAAAATGGGTTCCTACTGAAAAGACAGCTGAAAAATAATATGAGAGTGATCATGAACACCCTGGAATATTATGAAGCACATCCCGGCAAACAATCTGCACTGATTTTTCTGGATGCACAAAAAGCATTTGACAATTGAATTGGTGATTTATTACTTTACAACTAAAAAATATGAACTTTGGGGAGAAATTTGTAAAGATGGTGTAAACAATATATTCAACTCAAATGGCAAAAGTAATAATAAATGGAGATACAGAAAAATTTAATATCTCTAAGGGGGTAAGACAAGGTGCCCCCTATTGCCCTTATTATTTATTTTAACCTTAGAGGTATTACTAAGAAAGATTAGACAAGAACAAGAAATAACAGATCTGAAAATAAAAAAGGAAGAATATAAAGTGCAAGCATTTGCAGATGACTTGGTGTGTCATCTAGAAGAGACACTAGAAACATGACCCTAATTAGTTCAAGAGATAGAAGAATTTGGCACAGTGGCAGGACTCAAAATAAATAAAAATAAGAGAAAGATAATACAAAGAACCTCACCAAAAACAGGAAAAAGAACTAGAGGAAAAAATGGGAATGCAAATAACTAAGAAAGTTAAATACCTGGGAAAAATTAAAAAAACAGGGAATGGATATGGATTGGTGGCCATACATGCAAATTGAGACCAAATACAAGAAAGATGCAGGACTTTATGGGTTTAATAAGGAAACACAAGAATTGGGTAAGATTTTGCAAGGAACATAGGAAAAACTGATAAGGAAAATATACAATTATCTATTGCAATTTAGAATGGAAGAGGAGACAGTAAAGGAAACCATGATAACCTGAGCAAAAAATTTCAGCTATACAATAGAATTAGAGAAGTGGGAAAAACTGTGGGAGAAAAATTACAAATTGACAATGTCAGCAGCTTACAGAGAAAACCTATACAAAATGTTCTACAGATGGCATCTACCCACAGCGAGACTGGCAAAAATGTTTCCAACCAGATCACCGGAATGCTGGAAATGTAGGAACATACTACCACATGTGGTGGACATATGCAGCAGCAAAAAAATACTGGATAAGAATAAGAAAGTGGTTAGAGGAAACAACTAAACAACGAATAGAGCTAAAGTCAGAGATATTCCTATTAGGCATACTTAGAGTACAGGAAACTATGACAAAAAAACTCAATATCTAATACTACATGTAATAACTGCGGCCAGAATAGTCTATGTGCAAAATTGGAAAAATAGAAACATACCGTCAGAGGAAAGTGTGATAAAGAAAGTGTTAGTGTGTGCCAAGATGGATAAATTAACATTGGAAATAAAAAATAGAGGAGAAATTGAGTACTATTTGATATGGAATCTATAGTATAACTGGTTAGACAATAGATGTACAGATTAGGAAATTAACAAAGAAAGAGGATAAAGGAGCCAGAAAATAGTAAAAAGTATAAATTCAAAGATAAATGAAGAACATGCAGTATTAGTGTATGATAAGATGTGATAAAAATGTAAAATGTTAAAAAATACTTAGAGTAATAACGATGCACTGTATATAAATGAACATATTAGTATATACAAGGGAACCACATGTATGTAATTACATAGATATAGGAGGGGAAATGTATTTATACCGGATATATACCGATATTGAAGTGTTGCAAAGATGATGAAAATTGTGATATAAAATGGAAAAAACTGCTTAATAAAAATATTTTTTTAAAATGTAAATATTTGTACATAAATAAGTTCCCAGAACTAATTTTATTTGACAAAAGTCATGACAAACTCAGAATTGGGGCTTTGAAATGGTTTGGGACACTCTTTGTATAAGAATATACAAATGGAGAAGCTTGAAGAATTATCATGAGATAATTTATTCTACTTTATTAACATTTCATCCCTTTTATTACATCTCTGTTATATATGCAGTACTCTTTGGATTCAAATAACATTTTCCATTCTTTCATATTCATAGTTATTCCTACTTTATTTCTCCTCTATACATATTTAGTAAGATGCATGGTTTTAGGCAATATGAAATTGTGTCCTGACAACTTGGACTGTCTGAGACAGTCTTGTTGATCCAGTTCATTTTCCTCCATAGATTAAAATTGCATACAGGACTGGGAAAATTAAGATTCAATTGTGTAACTGCCTAAATGATAGTCTTAATTCTCCATGAAAGATATAAATGGGCAACTCATGAAATTTGACTTCCTCTCAAATAGAGCCTATATTTACCTGAATGCTATAATCAAACATATTGTTTTATGGGATATTTTTCTTTTAGTCTTAGAAGACCTAGAACAAATTGTTGTTCCCAATTATGGAACAGTACCTGGCCAGCAAGCTCTTCATATGCCTGAATTGGTAGGTACTAACTCATTATTCTTATAAAATTTATCATATAGTTCATATAAAGATATGCAAACAAATCTGAATTTCTCATAAGATATTTTAGATTTGGGTTGTAGAATTAAAACTGTTTAAAGCGCTTTTTTAAATGTGGCCTTTAGCATTAAATTTTCTGAATAATGTACTATTTGGGCAATATGAAATAGTGGTAATTTTATATTTCAGATTTGAATTTGTATATTGTTATTTTTGCAACGTAACATATGAAACATTTTTCTTGCTGTTGTCCAAATATATTGGACTACAATTCCATTTTGGCTCAGGGATCAAGTTGTACTCTAATCTTCCAGACAGTTGCAGTTTATGGAGGGAAGGTAAAATGAGGGAATGTGATTCTTATTTTTTAAAAAAAACAATGAACAAGTGCTGCTTAAAGAAAAATGTATTATTCCTAATTGGAGTAAACTAACTTTTTTGTATAAAATTTGAAATCATACCTCAAATTGCATTGTCATAGTTGACTGACTTTTTCAAGATGCTAGTGTATTAGAAATAGTAATAGTTCCACAATCTAATTTAAAACGGCCCACAAGGATTGTCCCTTGTCCTAACTGGAATTCAGAGGCATGCTGCTTCATATCCTCCATTAATGTATCCAATTAGATCAAACAGGAGAGGCATGCTGCAGATCCCATTTGCTAGGGAATGCTTTCAGGCCAATTTCAGGAGTCTTTCCTGTCATAGCACTGCCCTTTGGAACATTATCCTTCCATAAATCAGATTGGCTACAACCCTACTAACTTTCTGCAAGGACTTAAAAACTTGGTTTTGCTATTGGGCATTGGGACTTGGATGGGCAGTGTGGAATGACTGTATTGATTATTGTTGATGGGTCTATATATTATTAAATATCTCAGCTATGGCTGCATTTCATGGGTGTTTACATGTTTTATATTATTTATACTATTTTAAATCTATGTTTATATGGGGTTTCTTCATTTTTATATGGTTTCTCATATATTTGAGATAGGCAGGTATATAAATTGAAATAAAGACATTTAGATACATGGCTATCACTACTGTTTGAAGAACTGGAGTCAACTTAAACTACTTTTAAAAATATTCATTCAAAAAATTTCTCAAGGCATGCCAGAAACCACAAGTGATTCTAGGACTAGTATTATATTTTTGTATTGCTCATATGCCCACTAAATTATGTATTATCTTCTCACCAAAATGATACCTATTACTCTACTTCAATTTGCATGCTTTTGAACTGCTAATGGGCAGGAGCTGGGGCTGGAATGGGATTTCACCCCATTATTCAGCTCTCAGGTTTTGAACCTGTGCTTTCCAACTGACAAACTCAGCATCTTTACCACTGAGCCATTGCACAAATTCTACAAAATTCAGCAAAACCAATGTAATATGTACAATTTGCATTTAAAAACTGAAACTGAAAAATCAAACCAGAAAAAATGTTCATAGTGCACAATACATTTCTTTTTTAAACCCAGAATATGCAATTTATAAAGTTTATTACAACAAACTTTATAGCAATAAACTACAATTGAAAGCTGCCTCTGCCCATTCTTGTATTGGAATTCAGCCATCCCAAATGGACATTGAATGCAAATGCAATAGAATATTTGATCTAGACAAGTAATCCTAGTTACTTGTCTAGCAAGAACTAGCTCTGAGCAAATGATGCAATAATTTCTGCCTCTCCATCACCACCCTAATCTCTTGTCAACTAGTCTTGGACAATAAGAATAAGGAAGAAACAGGTCTAATTTACTGGTTATACAGCACTGTTTTTAAAAAAACAAACCGTCGCATTTGACTTTGTTGTAGGCTTATGAAGCAATGCCACACAAACAATTATGTTTTGTCTGAATCTAGTAAGAAACTAGAATTTAGATGTAATGTTTGACCAGGAGTCTCAGAACATAGATGGTTTCTCCTCAGTTCACAATACTCAAAAAAGTTATTGGGAATATTTTTTTTCATACTTGGAAAATTTTGCAAATCCATATCATATATGTATTTGAGTAAGCTAACCAAATACTAGATGGAAGATTTCAGATATTTTGTTTTCTTCTATTTATTCCCCTGTGAAGACTGATTCAACATATATTTGGCTGAAATATTAACACATTCAGTATGGATTACAGTATTTGGGTGTGTGACATGTTTTTCAGACATCTCTTTCTAGGACTCTGCTAACCAACTTTTGCTCTCCTCAACTAATCAACTACATATATTTTTATTCTCAAATTCCATTAGGTATAATAATATTTATATAGGTGTTAATATTTATTCTAGGTAGAGTTTGACCTGAATCCTGACTCTCTGTACTTTAATGATGGCCAAAGAAAAGTTGACTTTGTCTTAGTATATGAAGATGAAAGCAAAAGGGAAAATCGAAATACTTTTCATAAAAAGCAAAAGGTATGAATTGCTTTCTATTTGATGTTGCTATTGATAAAGTTTTAGTATTTACAACACTTTCCCTTAATCCATTAATTTAGATAGATTCCTCTTAAAATTTGATAATTACTAAAAGGGTTCTTCTTTTGTCTGTCTCAACTGCACCAAGATGAGTAAGATTTAATAATACTTATATAATTTCAGACAGGAGGAGGATTTGATCTATCACAATGCAATGTTCCATAGCTTTCTTGGAACTGAACCACGTCAGAATGCATATTTAAATGTCAATAACATTAAAAAAAGGAGAACAAAATCAAACAATACAGTATTTTTCTTCATTTTATTTTTTTTACAAATAATATGTATGTATATTTAAAACAAGACTGGACAATAAAGAACAAAAATGAGGACCCAGTTTGTGGGGGCAATAAACTGACTTTGTATAAATATACAAAAGTATGAAGGCTATTGCTTAACGCATTGTAAGCCACCCTGAGTCTCCAGAGAAGGGCGGCATATAAATCAAATTCAAAAAAAAAAAAAATTAAAGAAAATAATTTAAAAAATAATAACAAGTTAGTGAGGCAAAATGTACAATATATTACAGTAATATGTTCAGATTACTCAAACAACAAGTTAAACTTTGCCTTAAAGCAGTGGTTCTCAACCTTCCTAATGCCGCAACCCATTGATACAGTTCCTCATTTTCTGGTGACCCCCAACCAGGGGTGGGTTCTAAAAATTTTTACTATCGGTTCTGTGGGCGTGGCTTATTTTGTGGGCGTGGCTTGGAAGTCATGTGACTGGGTAGGCATGGCTAGCTGGTCATGTGACCGGGTGGCCATGGCTATGTGTATAGGGACTACTCAGAGGGCTGAAAAAAGTCATTTCTGATAGATCCTCACACTTTTGACTGGTCCTCACACTTATGACCATCCTCACATTTATGCCCGTGCAGCATTCTTAACAACCATGTCACTCATTTCACAACTGCTTCTCTTCACCATGGTGATAAGATAGGTCAAAAAACGTAAAATGTGAGGACAGTCGTAAATTCGAGGACTGGTCAAAAGTGCGAGGACCAGTCAAAAATAACTTTTTCAGCCCTCTGAGTAGTCCATGTGCACAAAAGGACTACCCAGAGGGCTGAAAAAAGTGATTTCTGACAGGTCCTCGCACTTTTGACTGGTCCTCACACTTATGACCATCCTCACATTTATGCCCATTGTGGCATTCTTAACAACCATGTCAATCATTTCACCACTGCTTCTCTTCACCATGGTGACAAGATAGGGCGCAAAACGTGAAATGTGAGGACAGTCGTAAGTTCAAGGACTGGTCAAAAGTGTGAGGACCGGTCAAAAATAACTTTTTCAGCCCTCTGAGTAGTCCATATGCACATAGGGACTATCCAGAGGGCTGAAAAACGTAATTTCTGACAGGTCTTCGCACTTTTGACCGGTCATCATTTATGCCATCATTTATCTTCTAATCCAGAGATCTCCAACCTTGGCAACTTTAAGCCTGGCAGACTTCAACTCCCAGAATTCCCCAGCCAGCTATGCTGGCTAGAGAATTCTGGGAGTTGAAGTCCACAAGTCTTAAAGCTGCCACGTTTGAAGACCTCTGAGCTAGAGCTTTAGGGCCAGCCTTTTGGGGAGGGGGTCCCATTCGGAGAGACCCCCTGCCTCTCAGGAAGCATTAGGCCCAGGCAAAGAAAGTTGCCAAGGTTGGAGATCTCTGGACTAGAAACCTCCAAAGGTCCCTTCCAATTCTGTAATTCTGGTATTGACAAGCAAGCACAGTTAAGCTACTTAAATCCTCCAGAGCAGGGGTCCCCAACCTTTTGGACCTCAGGGACCACCAAGTTCATAATTTTAAATTTCGCAGACCACTAATACGAATCCAGTGTGCCACTTGCTGAAGCACCTGGACTCCCAGTGACGGGATAGGGTCCTTCAGGCACTCCCCCCTCTTTCTCCCTCTCTCCTCCCTCTCTCATTCTCTCTTTCTCTCCCCCCTCTTTCTCCCTCTCTCCCCCACACACTCTCTCTCATTCTCTCTTTCTCTCCCCCTCTTTCTCTCTCTCCCCCCACTCTTTCTCTCTCTCATTCTCTCTCCCCTTCTCTCTCTCCTCCACTCTCTCTCTCATTCTCTCTTTCTCTCCCCCTTCTCTCTCCCCCACTCTCTCATTCTTTCTCTCCCCCTTCTCTCTCTCCCCCACTCTTTCTCTCTCCCCCTTTCTCTCATTCTCTTTCTCTCTCCCCCTTCTCTCCCTCCCCCACTCTTTCTCTCGCTCTCTCCCCCTCTTTCTCTCATTCTCTTTCTCTCTTCCCCCCCCCTTTCTCTTTCCCTCTCTCCCACTCTCCCCCACTTTCTCTCTTTCATTCTCTTGCAGGGGGCCGATCTGGTGTCTGCAATGGAGAGCAAAATCCAGCTTCTTCTCTCTGCTGTAAGTGCAGCATCAGGATTCTGCCTTGGTATATTTGCGGCGCAAGGCAGCCCTCGTTTCCTGCTGACTCGGAGCGGTAAATAGCGTCTGGTTCGGGGAACAGCTGGATTTTGCTCTCCATTGCTCTCTCAGCCCCCTGCAAGCTCTCATCTCTCGAGAAGCCCAACCAAAGTTTTCCGCACCACTTCAGGGAGCGGTCCTCGAGAGACGAGAGCTGAGAGAGCAATGGAGAGCAAAATCCGGCTGATCCCCAAACCAGACGCTGTTTACCGCTCCGAGTCCCAAGCGGCAGGAGAGGTGGGCTGCCTTGTGCTGCAAATATACCAGGTGGAATCCTGATGCTGAATTTACAGCGGAGAGAAGAAGCCAGATTTTGCTCTCCATTGCAGACACCAGATTGTATTGCACCACCTGCAAAAATGCAAAAAATTCCAAATGTAGCCCTGCCCTCTAACAGCCCTCCTGATGTTCAACTGTTGTCTCTCAAGGAGGATACTTGGCCATCTTCATGCTTGAAAGGATTCTACAGATGTCTCCCACCTTGGCAGCTTTAAGACTTGTGGACTTCAACTCCCAGAATTCTCCACAATTCCCCAGAATGGGCTAGGCGGGAGTTGAAGTCCACAGGTTGTAAAAGAGTCACAATTGCCCAGCCCTGGGCTAGGGTAGGCTGACGCCGTGTGGGTGGGAGGTGGGGCAAGGCGAGGGGTGGATGAGCCAGCAATTTAACAAACGGTTCGGTGTGCTGTGAGGCCAATAAATTGCAAAAAAACACCGAACCGTCTGTTAAATTACTGGCTCGCCCACCCCTCGCCCCGCCCCACCCCCAGTATTTATTGGCAAGGGGTGGGGCGAGCCAGCAATTTAACAAACGGTTCGGCCAAACCACCTAGAACCGGCAGAATCCCACCACTGGTTTGTTTCCCTCTAGCCATCAGCTGGGACTCAGGAGGCAGCAATAGATTGGGAGTGGGCGGGGTAAGCAAACGGCAACCGGCAATCCAACAGAGGCAGAGGATGAGGGTGAGTGAAGGCATGGGGGGGTGAGAGAGGGCTTTGGCAACCCCTGTGAAATGGCCGTTCGACCCCCAAAGGGGTCGCGACCCCCAGGTTGAGAACCGCTGCCCTAAAGGAATCATATTTCTCCCTTTCCCTAGCCAGGAATTCTTTGGCATGAAAAGAACCATTCAACCATCTGTTTTTTCCATTCAAATTCAGAATAATGAAAATTTCATATGATTGGTTTAAAATAGGGAGGTTAGAAGTTGATTGGGGGCTAGTAGATTATTGTGGTTTATTTTACTAAATAAGGTCCCAATTAACCTGGTTAATAGACATAAGTAAACATAAGCAGAAACGGCAAGTAATCCAAATTTAAGCAAATTAGGAAAGAAAAGAACATCTGCACCATCATCTGCAGCAGCAGCAGCAGCAGCAGCAGCATCAAGTCCATCAAGTCAAAGATTGATAGAGAGCATGTTACAAGCAGAGAAATCAAATTCATTTCAAAAAGATGTGATGATGATGTTCCACTCTTTACCGGAGGCAATAACAAAGAATCATAATGAGGTGAAGAGTGAGTTGAGAGAGGTGAAAGATGCATGATATGAATGAAAAAATGGGGAATTTCCAACAGATGATAGAAAAAAATGAACAAAGGATTCAGGTAATAGAAGAAAAATCAGAACAAGCTGAGAAAAAAATAGAAAATATGTACCAAAGGCTTACACAGGAAAATAAAGAGTTGGAGGAAAATATGATTTCGTTGCAAATGAAAAAGTCCACTTACTTTCTGAGATTCCAAAACATTGAAGAGAAAAAAGGAGAAGACCTACCTGATATAATGACAGAATTGCTGACAAATGCTTTACAAATTACAAAACAGAAAATGCAAGCAGAGATTGATGAAATATTTTGAATACACAAAAACTACGTGAGAAGACATAATCTCCCAGGAGAAGTTCCTGTAAGATTTGTCAAGAAGATGATAAGAATTGAAATACTTTAAAAAGCAAGAGATGGACCTCTGCAATATAAAGGCAAAGAAATTGTGGTGTTGAAACAGGTGCTAAGAAGAGTTAAGAAATCTAAGAAGACAATATCTATTTTTGACAGGTCAGCTGATTAAATACAACGTAAATTTCAGATGGCTGATATCAGAGGGAATTTTGGTAACTTGGAATGAAAAAAGATATAGATTGGACTCATTAGATAAAGCACATGAATTTTATGAATATCAATTTGGAACTACTGAAGAACAGGGAAGGGGAGAGGAAGTAGAATGTAAAGGACAAAGAGAACTAGCAATTGTGGAAAAGACTAGATGGCAAGAAGAAAATGAGTCCGAACGAGCAGAACGAGAATGAGCAAAAGTAAAGGAACAGAGAGAAATAAGATCAACTAGGACAATATGACCTATATACAAGTGAGAAGGTGGAAGAAGAAATACAGATGATATCAAATGGATTGAATTCACCAATGAAAAGGAAAAAAAAACTTTCACAAAACTACAAAAATTAAAATTTGACTTAATTTGCCTCCAAGAAGTCCATATTCAAAAATAGCA